GGGGGGGTGATCCAGTGGTCAGGAATAGCAAGTGCTTAGAGTTAAGCCAAAGGCTCTCAGCTCACAGGCGGGGCTCAAGGCCAGGGGGGGCCCAGTTTCTCCAACCTTAGCTTGTTCCGGCCCCATCAAGTCCATCCTGGGGGTTCCCGGGTACCCCATGAACAAATGGGAATGAGTGTTGCCTCGGCTGGTAGTTCTCTTGTCTTCTACCAGCCTTGAATCTGTCTTAACTCCTCCCACCTCGGCTGGGCCTCTCCTCCCCTCCCATACCCAGGGCCAGTAGTGGGTCTCAGGGGGAAACTAAGGCCTTCCTCCCGCCTCACACCCCCTTCAGGCTCACGAAGTCTGCTCTTCCAGGTTCAAGAAGGTCTGGATGACAAGAGGCAGCTCAGATTTGATAATGTACAGATAGCTGGACATGGCTGCAGGAGAGAAGGAGAGAGGCAGGTAGGTAGGTGTTAGGGTTGTCCAAGGGAAGCAGCTTTCAGCCTTTCTCAGCCTCCTGTCCTGCCCACCAGCCTCACCTCCGATGTTTTGAAGCGTGATGGCTAGAGCTGCTGCCAGCTTTCCCGGCGTCCCGAAGGCACGGTAGCCCAGTTGCTCATAGGCACGGATGCCTATGGAAACAAAGTTAGGCGAGTCAAGAGAGCTCACCCAGTCTAATCCCAGCCATCCCACTGTGCAGGCTGGCAAGAGACTCACCCACAACCCCTGAGGACTTGAGGAGCAAATGGATGGAGTAGCTAGAAAGCAGGGCGACGGCTGTCAACAGGAACCTGGGTGAAGATGGCGGGAAAGAGAGGTTGCTGAATGATCCCTTGTCTGGCCGGGGCTGAGGTTTGGGGGGGGGGGAAGGAGGAGGAGGCCCTGGGAGGTTCCAGGGGAGTATTTGTGGTTGGGATATTTGGTGCCATCGTAAAATAAATGCTGCCTGTCATCCTAGCTACTCAGGAGACTGAGATCTAAGGATCACAGTTCAAAGCCAGCCTGGGCAGGAAAGTCCATGAGACTTTTTTTTTTTTTTTCTTTTGGTTGGTAGTAGAGCTTGAACTCTCAGCCTGGGCTGTCCCCTGAGCTCTTCAGCTCAAGGCTAGTGCTCTATCACTTGAGCCACAGTGCCCACTTCTGGCTTTTTCTGTGTATGTGGTGCTGAGGAATTGAACCTAGGGCCTCTTGCATGTGAAGCAAGCACTTTACCATTGAGCCACCTTCCCAGCCCCTCCAGGAGACTCTTATCTCCAATAAACCATTAGAAAACTGGAAGTGGTGCTGTGGCTTAAGTGGTAGAGTGCTAGCCTTGAGCTAAAGAGCTGAGGGACAGCACCCTTGTTGAGTTCAAGCCCCAGGACCAAAAACAAACAAACAAACAAACAAATAAAATTAGCCCTGGCAGGAAAGTTTATATGATTCTTATCTCCAATGAACCCCCAGAAAATTGGAAGTAGAGCTGAGGCACAAAATGGTTGAGCACTAGCCTTGAGCATAAAAGCAAATCTAAGTTCAGTAAGCTCCAGAAGTATGACCAGAGGCAGAATATAACCCTTAAAGAGAGGCTGTAGGTCAGGGGTACCTTGTGACTTTTTTTTTAAACCAGTCTTGGGGCTTGATCTCAAGTCCTGAGTGATATCCCTGAGCTTTTGTGTTCAAGGCTAGCACTCTACCACTTGAGCCACAGCTCTACTTCTGGCTTTTTGGTCATTAATTAGCAATAAGAGTCTCACGAATTTTCCTTTCTTAGCTGTCTTTGAATTATGATGCTCAGATCTCAGCCACCTGAGTAGCTAGGATGACGGGCATGCGCCATCAGTGCCTGACCTTTTTTTTTTTTGCTTGTTTGTTTTTGGTTGGTCTTGAGGCTTGAATTCTGGGCCTGGGTGCAGTCCCTCTGCTCTTCAGCTCAAGGCTAGTGCTCTACCACTACAGCCACAGCGCCACTTCTGGTTTTCTAATAGTTTTTTGGAGATCTGAGTCTCACGGACTTTCCTGCCTGGGGTGGCCTTGAACAGCGATCCTCAGATCTTAGCCTCCTGAGTAGCTAGGATTATAGGTATGAGCCACTGGCGCGTGGCAGTGCCTGACCTTATCACTATTTTCTGAGCATCCTTCTCTTGAATCTTTGGGACAAATATATTTTCCATTCAACCTGCAGATTAGAGGTCCCAGGTCAGGGACACGTGTGCCCACACAAGACCTGGCCACTGCCAGGCGCTGGTGGTTCATGCCTATAATCCTAGCTACTCAGGAGGCTGAGATCTGAGGATCAAGGTTCAAAGCCAGCCTGGACAGGAAAATCTGTGAGACTCTTAGCGCCAATGAACCACCAGAAAACCGGAAGTGGCGCTGTGGCTCAAGTGGTAGAGCACTAGCTTGAGCTGAAGAGCTGAGGGACAGCACCCAGGCCCAAGTTCAAGCCCCACAACTGACAAAAAAGAAAAAAGAAAAAAAGACCTGGCCATGGGTTTTGGTAGAACAGACATAGGTCTGTAAGGCTGGCCCTGTGGGTTTACTGGGTAATGAGGTAGTCTTGTCTGCCTGTGACTGTTTTTGCAGCTGTGGTTTGGGTTTAGTGTCAGAGGTGCCCACCCACCGGAGAGTGAATAGGAGGGTCTTGGGAGGTTGTGGTTGGTAGCTTGTTTAGGACTGTCTAAATTCAGAAAGTTTGCTGAGGTACTCACAGGAAAAGAATGATGCCTGTGTTGGCCATAGCGTAGGCGAGCCCCAGAATGCCGCTGCCCATGATGGCATTGCTGAGGTTGAACACTGACATCCCAAACGATGTCTTGCCCTCAAACTGCAGGAGACCGGAGTTGGGTGGAGAGGGATAGAGAGTCAGAAAAACATGGAACTAGCTGGGCACCAGTGGCTCACCTGTCTTCCTAGCTACTCAGGGAGGCTGAGATCTGAGGATCATGGTTCAAATCCAACCTGGGCAGGAGAGTCTCTGAGACTCTTAGCTCCAATAAAGCAGTAAAAAGCCCAAAATAGAGCTGTGGCTCAAATGATGGAGTGCTAGCCTTGAACAGAAAAACCACTCAGGAATAGCTCTTAGGCCTGAGCTCAAGCCCCAAGACTGGCAAAACAAACAAACAGGAAAACAACAAAACAAAACAAAACAAAAAACAACCATGGGTATGGTGGTACTGTCCCTGAGCCTCCCATCACCAACCCCAGAGCACCCCATTACTGTGCCTAACCTCCCCACTGTCCCCCAAAACCCTTTGGATGGTCCAGCTCACATCAGTAAAGTGTGGCTCCTTGCTGGGGCTTTTCTGTAAGAAGCTCTTGCCTTCCACACAGCTCCTTCTGGAATCCTCCATCCTGCAGACAGGAAGCAGGGTTGGTGACTGAGGTCCAGTCCTGTGCAGTGGACCCCCTGCCCATCCTGTCCAGAGCCTCCACTTAGATCCTCTTCTCCTCACCTCTCATTGCCCGTGGTAGGCATGCCCACAGGGAGTAGGCCTTCCAAGTGTTTGCCGTTGGGCACCAGCTCCACCATCTCTGTCTGCAAAGGTGCTTCCATGACTTGGAGGCCACAATCTGGAGTTCTTGCTCTCACACCAACAGTCAGGCAGGTGTCTGTGGAGCAGCCAGCCTTCTGTTATCTTTGGGCTCACAGCTCAACCTTCCATACAAGGTCAGTAGCAGAGGCTTGCTCAGGACATATGCTCACCTGAGTCTCTGCCTACTGCTTCACTGGGGTGGGGGCGTCTGCTTTAGGATGACGGGGTTAGCTCTTGCATACCTGAGTTCTCCCAAATGTGTATGTGTGTGTGTATGTGTGTGTGTGTGAATCCTGGGATTTGAACTCAGGACGCACGCACTGTCTCTTAACTTTTTCACTCAAGGCTGGCAATTTTCCACTTGAGCCTTCGCTCTACTTTCGGCTTTTTGGTGATTCACTGGAGATAAGAGATGCATGGACAGGGTCGGGAAGGTGGCTCAGTGGTAGAGTGCTTGCCTAGCATGCGTGAAGCCCTGGGTTCAATTCCTCAGTACCCCATCCACAGAAAAAGGCTCCTAAGTAGCTAGGTTTACAGATGGGAGTTACCAGTGCCAGGGACATCTTGCTGGGACACCTCACCACGTGAGTCTTTGCAACCTCAGTTTCCCCATCTGTAAAGTGAGCATCATTTGTATGTGGCCTGAGCTGACCCGGCAGCAGGAGGATGCTTGAATCCCAGGTCCTCAACACCCTCCTCGGAGTATGCCCTCAGGAATGACTCTCCCTCCCGACCCCGGTTTTGGTACACAGTTTCCTGCACTGGGTCTGGGTGCCAGGACCCTCCTGTCCAACCTAGAATGGCATTGCCTGATGGCTGGAGGCCTTGGGAGAGGGTGAGGGCTGTGGGCCTTGTTCCCAGCCGCCCGGCGGGCACTGCTGGCAGCCAGAACAAAGGGCTCTCTGTGGGCTGAGAGTTGGCACTAGGAACAGCAGGCGCAGAGCTGTACCCCCACCCTCGAGCTAGGGGCCTGAGGCAGTGCCGGGGCCTGTGGACACCTGGGCTCTTGCTATGGTGAAAAGCTCTGAAGGGCCCTTCCAGGAAATGGGTGTTTCAGGGCCTAGATTCTCTGGGCCACCCAATCCTAACCTTCCACATAGTCTTGGTCAGGTTTTCCTTCAAGCCTCTCCTCTCTCCTTTCCTGCCAGGGTCTGGCAATGCTCAGGTGCCCAACATCCAGATCATCCTCTAAATAAAGCCCTTGCTTTTTTGGAGTCTCCCCTACCCCCCCAGCTAGGATTCCAGGGCTTGGCCTGGATCACTAGTCAGTACCTCTTTCTTGCTCTTAGGAGTTGGTTGTGCTTGGAACTCAAAAGATCCAGCTTCCCCGCTCCCCCTTTGCATTACCCAGACAACTCCTTGGCTCCTCTCCCATCCCTGGGTCCAGGAGTTGATTACCCATGCCCAAAAGGTGTCTGGGCATCATAAACCAGGTTCTGTTGGGATATCCTGAAAGCCAGACAAGCCAGAAGGAGGGCTGAGCCAGAATGGAGACCAGAACATGGGGTAACTCTGTTGGAAGAGACAGCCCGCCACAGCCTGTCCTGAGTCCCATGCTGCTTTTCCCAAATGATGCTCTGAATTCTCATTTTTCTCATTTATTATTATTATTATTAATTAATTAATTTTTGTTGGTCATGGGTCTTGAACTCTGGGCCTGGGCACTGTCCCTAAACTTATTCAGCTCAAGGCTAGCACTCTACCACTTGAGCCACAGCATCACTTCTGGCTTTTTCTGTGTATGTGGTACTGAGGAATGGAACCCAGGGCTTCATGCATGCTAGGCACGCACTCTACCACTGAGCCACATTCCCAGCCCCCATTTCTCTCATTTTAGAACCTGGTAGTCTCTGGTCTAGCTCAAGGGATGAGGTGAATAAGGAAGTTGGGACTAAGCTCTGTGTGTGTGTGTGTGTGTGTGTGTGTGTGTGTGTGTATGTGTGTGTGTGTGTGTGTGTGTGAGTCCTGGGTTTGGGTTTGAACTCAGGGCCTGGGCACTATCCCTCAGCTATTTTGCTCAAGACTAGCACTCGACCATTTGAGTCACAGCTTCACTTCCAGCTTTTTGGGTGCTTAATTGGAAACAAAGTCTCACACACAGGCTTTTTTGCCCAGGCTAGTTTGAACTGTGATCCTCAGATCTCAGCCTCCTGAGTAGCTAGGATTAGAGTCTTGGATTTAGGCTTTACATTTCTTAAACTTTAATCACTGATCAGGAGACTTCCCTCCCTCATTTCCTTAGGCCAGAACTCAGATTCTGGGTACCTTATATCTAACACCATAACTACCTCTACCTTCTCATCTCCTTGCTCTGAGTCCCCCTTCTCCTCCTAGCCTGTCTACCCCGGGCCATAGCAATATTGGTTTCTCTTCTTGAGCCATCCCTGAGACTAGAATTCCCTAGGCCAGCCTGTTCTCTAAGCTTTTCTATCACTGTTTCAAGGACTCTACCTGCTTACTTATATACCAGTGCCAGGTCTCCAAAGTCCATTCACAGAGCCCCCTGGCACTCAGCAGGTTGCCCATGCCCAGCCCCCCAACCTGGGCAAGCTGGGACAGGCCCTCAAAGAGTACTAAGTCTGAGCCGGCAGCCTGAACAAAGCATCCTTCTCTGCCATTTAATAACTGAAGCCCTGAGGGCTTGCCTGGGCTGGTGTGTGCAACGGGTGCATTGTGTTCTGGCTGAGGTGTCCCACCGGGACACCTAGAAGCCAGCCACTGCCTCCAGGGACACCACAGTTCCTAGGCTGTAGGAGTTGTGGAAGGTTCTCGCTCCATAGTCTCTCTTACTCTGTAGGATGTGAGACTAGACCTTTGGGGCCTGGTGGCTATCACTCATTCCTCATTGCCGAGTCTCAGGCTGGGCCAAAATCCTGGCAAAGATAGGAAATAGCCAGCGATTTCTGCGTTGAAAGGGGTAAGCCCACAAATCCCACCCTCATAGCTCCTGCTAGAAGTGAGCCTTGGGCTGCGAATGTGGCTTAGTGGTAGAGTGCTTTCCTAGCATGCATGAAGAAGCCCTAGGTTCACTTCCTCAGTACCATATAAATAGAAAAAGCCAACA